ACATGACCGCCCGCCTGCACACACGCCCACCCACAAAACACGCCCACCTGCACAAATGCCCGCCCACACAACACGCCCGCACACCTGTTTGCATCGGAGCGGAGAGCCCGACAGCTGCAGCCAGGTAAGACATCCACCAAAGATAAGACCTAGTGTCTTTTATCATGAAAGAAAAAAAATAAGACAGTGTCTTATTTTCGGGGAAACACGGTATTTCTGCAGTGTACTGCAGGTTTGTACTGTAAACTATGGATCATTTGATTTAACCTATTCAAGTTAGCAGGGGAGAACTATAACTCTTTAAATTATCAAGTTGCAGAAATAGAGTTACAATTCTCCCCTGCTACTTCCAATCTGTCCCACTTCCCCCAATTAAACTTGAAGTTACACAAAGTATTGCTGATATGAAGCAATGACTGAGACATTAGATAGGATGTGGTAAATATAATGAACATGCTCAGCAAAAAGTGCACCAAAATCATTAGTCTGTATTGTTTTCGAAAACATTTCACATGTCCCTTTAAGAACAGTATCGGTAATGGGTATCGGCAAGTACCTGAGGGACAGTACTTGTACTTGGTCTTGAAAAAGTGGTATCAGGACATCCCTAATATTTATCTTTTATATACTTGTACATGCACCGCAGACCTTTTCAACAAATGCCATAAAGCTATGTGCTTTAGCAATTATTGTGATTGTACTGACCCTCCCCTTCCCTATATATAGAACACCACTCTCCCTGGACACAGGCTTTAAAAAGGAGGTTTACCTTGGAAATGTGTTGCCTAGCAACACTTGTCACTTCTGCAACCTGGAAGCACCCTGCACCTGGTCTCCCATAGAAGCGGTGGTACCGCTCCATGCTTGTTCTCCAGCCGACAGCAGAGGGAAGTTGAGCTCTCGTGAGATACCCATTGTATATATGTAAGCGCAATACTTTTATCCCTATTAAAGTGTTATTTGACACTGCACTTAGATCTGTTATTTGCTCTTTCTTAGTTATAGCAGAAAGTAATTTGGTCTTTACTCCTTACATGGTAAAAAAAAAAAGCAAAAACGGTAGTTATTGAATACTACCAAAAGAAAACTCTGTCTCAAAAAACTATAGAAAATTCATTTGGGTACAATGTTGCATGACAGAGTTATTCTCAGTGAAACTATCTCAGCACTGAAGCTAAAAATTGACATGGTAATGAAGGGGTTTAACATGCCAGTCCAGAAGTGGATAAATCCTGTTCTGGGTATATCCCCTTTAGCACCAATAGGTGGTTTCCCCTGGTTTTTACCAGGAGAGCACTTATCATATTTTCGGACTTGGGTGGTGGATGGGGATGTTCGTTTGGGCAGATTTATGGTGGAGAACGCTCTTATCCCATTGGAGGAACTGAGGGAAAAGAGGGGTACATTTCCTCTAGATGCTTGGCGCTACTTACAACTCAGTAACTTCCTTCGGGAACATATTAGTCTAATTAGGCCACTTGGGTCTTTAACTTTTTTTGAAAAATTATGTGACTCTAGGTCCCCTCCTAGTCGCTCTCTATCTCTTATGTATAAAATGTTATTGAAAATAAGCTCAATAGGTTCTTTGTACTTTATGAGAGAATGGGAGAGGGACATGGTGACTTTTTCGGATGTACAGAAGGACCAATTACTAGCGCGGGCCCATAACTCATCTATAGATTCCAGAGTTCAAGAAACCAATTATAAGGTGCTTACCCGGTGGTATCGGGTTCCATATTCTTTAGGGAAAATTTATCAAAATGTCTCTCCTCTATGTTCGAGGCACTGTGGGTTACATGGGACATATTTACATGTGTGGTGGGAATGTCCTAAGCTTAAACCTTTTTGGCAAGATGTTAGAGAACAAATACAGACCACTCTGGGTGAGACTCTACCGTTTTCTCCGGAGGTCTTTTTGCGGCATTTGATGCCTGTGTCAAAGGCTAAATACAAAGCTACAGTTTTGCCTCATCTTCTAAATGCAGTAAAGAGGTTAATACCGAGATTTTGGAAGAGCCAACAGGTACCTACAAGATTAGATTGGGTAAGCCAGGTTAATTGTATTATGGAATCTGAAAAGTGGATAGCAATGGGCAGAGAGAATCATGACGCGTTCCTCAGTAAATGGGATATTTGGATTGATTATAGCTCGATGAACCTTTAGGGTGGGAACTTTGGGGGAGGTTTTTGGAATATGGAAATATGGTTTTTTATTAAGAGGGTATCCAGTTTATCTTTTTTATTTATTTTTTTGGTTGAGGCTTTTTGCTGGATTCATGACCTATGGAGTCAGTCTTGTATATATATTTGTTATGTGATATTGGTAATTCAGGAAATTCTCTTCTATTTCTTACGTTCTGTTTGTATGGACATTTATATGTTTTTGAATTTATAAAGATACAATTATAAATAAAGATTTTTAAAAAAAATCCTGTTCTGGGTCCTGGAGCCTAAATGTTTGGGTGTGACAAAGCCTTCATTCCGAGGTCCAGATGTTGCCTGGTAGCCAGACCTTATTAGTTAGACACACTTTATGTGCGTTGTGCTATAGAGTGTGCTAAATGCATGATACTGTGCAATTAACAAGTAGCCAGTCTGAATCACAAACTTGGTAAATGTTCATCTTACATTTTTAGCTTTGGTGCATCTTTACGCACAACACAACACATAAATCAAGATATTGAGAGAGAAACCTTGTATTGCCTTTTAGTTACCCTTTTAGCATCTTATTTATTATTCGGAATTAGGTACAAACCTGGCATTCTTATTGGCATCTGCTCTGAGCATTTTCACAGCCACGAGAGTTGGTTGCCCAACACTTGTGTCTAAAATCAAGTCCTTGTCCAGAAAGTCTTCTACACCCTGAGCCTCACAGAGATGAACCTATGAACAATAATCACAAGGTTATACTAAGAAAAATGCAAGTTACAAAACTTTTGTGTATTGAGCTGATTATTCCATATAGAAAGAAACTTGTATCTAAACCATACTGAAAACATTTCTCTGTACAGTATCAAGACATTTGTGAGGGTTCACACAAGCCCTATTTTTTATTACAGTGCTTTAGGACTTGGGTACATGGAGATTTTTTTTTTGCAATGTTTTTCTGATGCATTTTGGCCAGATTTGCTTGAATTTTGAACTATGTAGTTTAATTGAAATTGTTTTATGTATATGTCATATTCTGCTGCGTTTAAACTACTTTTTATTCCTCTAAACAAGTCAACATGAATGCGATATGAAAGTGAAGAAAACACACTTTAAGAGAAATCCACTTTTCTTCAAAAGCACTTAGGCGCATGCTCTCTTGTGGCTGCAGTTGACTTGCTTCTGAATCTGATGCCCATGTACACAAGACTCACCCAAACTGCACGTCCGTGCAGGTACGGGTGTCCATACACGTACGCAGACAGGATGGATCCTGTCTGCATTCGAGCAGGGGCACCCGCACCTGTACGGACGTGCAGTTTGGGTGAGCTTAGGGCGGCGTACGGCCACGTACTCCCATAGAGAATAACAGGCTGCTGCGTACAAATTACATTGCTCACAGCACGGATCTGTACGGGCCAGCTGTTACTCGTGTGAATGAGGGCTTTAGGAGAAACTTTTTATGTTTTGGATTGAGCAACAATGGGAACGGTTAGACCCTAATTTTTGTTTTTTCCTGTTTGGACCCCTGCTGGAAATATTCATCACTCTATTTGTCCTGCTGAATATTGTTACAGAGGCAGAATGTATGCGGAAGTCCTACATTTTAGAATTGTGATTAAAGCAAGATATAAGGTTAAATCTTCCAATATGGGCAAACTGTCTAAGATGGGAAATCCCCTCACTTTGGGCAGATTTCCTTCTACTTCCTGCTGGGTTTCCAAGATAGGAAGTGAAGCGAAATCTTCCTAGCAGGATACAAACAGCAAAAAATAACCATACTCATTCCAAAACTAAAAAAAAAAGGTTTGCTACATGAACTTAACTTGCCTTCATCAAGCCGCTCAAGGGAGAGATAGCCAATCACAAACCTCTGGAAGATTGCTTCATTTGTATGTTCTGGTGATGGGGCTTTCATTCTGACTTGCATGCCATGCAAACCTCCTTTGAGCCTTCCTGCCCTGTCCCATATCCAATCAGGATTTTAAAGCAAGTGTCTGTTTACCAGTTCCCACACTATAGCTAAATACTGTGTATCTCAGTGTATTTCTGTGTACTATTTGACACCTATTAGACTACTGTGACAAACAAATATTCTTATTGTTTACTCTCAATCAGATATACATATGTCCAACACCAAAAAAGCCACAACCAGCGCTTGGCAAATCTTCATCCCTTACTTGTACATGCACCGCAGACCTTTTCAACAAATGCCATAAAGCTATGTGCTTTAGCAATTATTGTGATTGTACTGACCCTCCCCTTCCCTATATGTAGAACACCGCTCTCCCTTCAAATCTTTCCACACTATGAGAGGGAGCCATCCAAAAAGCTATTGGGAAATATCCTCGGAAAACATATAAAAGACAAAAAACAACAGAGACAGTGCCTTCTCCTCATGTGTTTATTAGACTAAAATGTATATATAGGTGTAATGAAATCTACTCAGATACATAAGATGTACACTGTACACATGTTCACTGTACTGCACTGCATCATTTGATTAAGTAAATGTTTAACAAAAAAAAACAAAACACAAAGTGACAAGAAGCTGAAGATCACTCAGCACAGAGCATCAGAGGATCACAGCCTAAATAGCGTGCCTGGCACCAGAATCTGGAGCACGTCCGCAAACGCATGCGCAACTGCACAGAGACGCATGACCAGGTCTGGTTCTATTGACAGCTGCTTGCACAGCGCTCACGGTAGCAGCTTCTTGAAAGTCAATATGGGAAGGGTGCTTTGCCAGAGGGGACTCCCTGTCCCCATGTTGATGAGCACAAGGGCCTTTTCCCCACAACCATGGCCTGGTGTCTTGGGGGGTCTGCGGGCAGGGGGACTTATCTGAATCTGGGTCCCGCCCCCCCCAAAAAAATGTCCATCGATGTAATCCCCATGTCAACCATGTCGTCCAGCAATGTAGATCTTTGTCACTCACGATTCCCGCTGCTCGCCGACTTGCTGAAAGAAAAAATCCCCAACGCCATCGCTCCTGAATGTAAACAAAGGAGCAGAACGAGTCATGGGGGGTGATTTACTAACCTAAACACACACACACACCAGGTGTGTGTGATTTTCACACAGCAAAATGTATTTATCAACCAAAAAGTCTCTAAAAGCATATTTCCACTAATGCCATATATGGAAAAATCATGCACATGATGCATATATAATGCTGCTTCACAGTTTAGACAAAAATGGTTAGCTCATGCATTTACATTCCTTGCATTCATCAACGCAAGCAACACAACATAGAGCTAATTTACCCAACATGACCTTGGAATTCATTCAGGGCTTTGCACAACACACCTGCTGGGTGTGTACACATTACAAAGGTGTTTAGATTCCACCCATAGATCATGCTGGGAGGGAACACACTGCAGAGGTGTATACACATTCGTGGTGTGTTTATAAGGTTAGTAAATCAACCCCATGATGTCACAGGACTTGTACCACCCTTTTGCATACATTCCATTAGGGGGCTGAGAGCTATCCCGGAACCCCTAAACAAAGGACTCGCTCCGTGATTTTACACGGGGGGTGGTGGGGGGTTAAGAAATAGGGTTTAACTGACATATTAGTGCAAGATCTGCTTTAACACCATCCTAAGAAAATAAACATACTAATATCTAAAAAAAGAATTGTAAAAGCCTTTTTTTCACATTATGCTTACTATATCTCATTGTGTGTAATTGTTGTAGTATGTGTATCTGTATAATCTGTATAACCTGTATATATCTGTTTGCCTATAAAATGTATAATGATCAGCATGTGCTCCTCATAATGCAGTGAGGTATATGCAGTTTTATTTGCAATGATAACATAATTATTGAACTAAATTATTTAAAGATAGATAGAACGAAAGTCAAAACTTTTTGGGATCGAGTAGGGAGGGATTAAAACAGCTGTCAAGTTTTCATTGCTGTATGTATTTCTTAGGGAAATTCACCTTCTTTATTTGTCCTGGAGACTTTTATCACCAAGAGTGAAAAAAACTCAAATTTTGGGATTTTGTTTCGTCACCAGAATAGGAATAGAGGGAAATGTATTTTAAAGGGGACACTGGTTCTGTTGACCCTGGTGACAACTAGCGATTTACCTCACTTTGGAGGGATTTACTCTCACTTCCTTTGTGGAAGAAACTGACAGGGGTTATAACCTTCCCGTACTCTATTTGAATGGAATAAAGGTTTTGGCTTTAGTTCCACTTTCAGTCTGCATGTAAACATAAACATACTTACTGACCTCACCAAACTGACCCTCCCCAAGTTTCTCTTTGAAGGTTAAATGTTTCCTTGGAAACTCTTCCACTGCTACTTCTTTACCAGATAGGAGGTCCATTGTGATTGCTGGGACTGAGTAGGTGTTGCCACCTGTCACCCCTTGCAAATTAACTATATCTGCCTCAGCGTAATGCGGGACTCCTTCGGCATTAGTGGGCAGTGGTAGGTTGCCTGCAGAACTTGCTGTTTGAAGAAAGAAAAAAACATTTTCCATGAATGAAGTTGCATAAAGCCTTTTAGATTTGTAGGGCAATGTTTCATTTTTTTTTGCGAGGCACATGATTACATATAACATGAATACAAAAATAATATAGGTCCAGAAGAAAAATGGAACAAGAGTGTAGAGCAGAGAACAAGAAAAGCATATAGCAGAACCAAACCTTCAGGTGCACCATTAACCTATTAAAGGTGGGCTTTATGCTCATCAGAAAATTGAAACTGATGCCAATAGTAGACATGTGCGATTCGTTTCGTTCCGAATCGAAATGCGGACGAATTTTCGGAAATTCAGACATTCGGATGTTTCCGAATTACAGACATAACGAATGCAAACGAATCCGAATTTCCATTTCCGAAATTCGGTAGCGGTAGTTCGAACGTTCGTTTCGTTTTCGGTTCTTATTCGTTTCTTATTCGTTTCGTTCGTTGGAGCAAAGTGACATTATAGAAGGAGAAAAATATGTTTTCCCCCTCAAATGTCACTTTGCTGCAAACGAACGAACGAAACGAATAAGAAACAAATAAGGACAGAAAACGAAATGAACGTTCCTTCTACCACTACCGAATTTCGTCCGAATCCGAATTCCGAATTGACTTTCACACCCGAATCCCGAAAAACGAAATAACACAAATCCGAATTTAAAACGAAACTAAACAAATTTTTTCTGTCTAGCCAATAGAGCCAGGTATTCCACATAGTTTCTTCCTGGTATTTAAGAGTAGAAGTCACATCCTCCATCTTCATAATGTCAATAACAGCCACAACCCAGTGGCTGACCATAGGAGGTGCACTATTATTCCATCTGGCTGATAAATAGTAGCAGGCTGAATGTAATAGGTGGATTAGGAGGGAGCTTTTATACTTATTTTTTGATAAGTGACATAGATGCAAGAGGTTGGATGCTGGCTCATTGCCTATATCAATGCCCGTATGTATGTAGAGTAATGAGATTAGCCTGTATCGCATTCCAAAAGATCCTCAGCAAACAACATGACCAGAAAACACGTAACAATGAGCCTTTAGACTGGTGACACTTCCAACATAACAGAGAGATGCCAGGGAACAACTTGTGTAGAACCCTGGGTACCCTGTACCACCTGGTCAATAGTTTGCAGCCAGATTCCTGAAACTTAATGGAGAGGAAATATTGCGCAAAGTGTAAGATATAATATTTCTGCTCCGAAGAAAAAGAATGGCCCAAATGGTGCTCCCAATGAGCTGGAAAAGGAGAATAAAAATCATCTGGAGGAAAAATCAGAACAGAATTAGCTATCTAAGAGGGTTTGGATCCTGGTATAAGCTCTTAAATGTGGTAATAGGTGGGATATCCACTAGTCAAGGTTTTAAGGATGAAAGAATATGTTTAATCTGCATACTTTGCAAGTTGGATATACGCAGATTCACCATATTTGGAATATCAGCCAGTTCTTCAGTCTGAAAACATTAGCATGCAAAAAAGGCTGAAACAATTTGCACTGAAGACTGGGGACAAAAGCCGGGTTACTCACTATTGGTGTCATCAGAGATAATTGAGATCCAGTAAAAAGAAACAATTAATCTTAGCTAATGTCTTTAGCGTGGGACCCAAAAGGGGATGATGTTTGAGTTCTTCAGGGATCGAGGTATTTACCATAGTAGGGACGCCAGGCGGAATGAGAGACCTCTCTTTTTTTAAGGTCACTCAAGCCTTACATGCCAAATGTTTACACCAATCCAGCACCCTGGCCCCATATTTAACTGCAGGATAGTGCTATCAACCCCATCTCCTGCTTCACCCAGGTTTGTGGGTGCATAGTTTGCATCTTCACCTGCCCATCACTGTCAACAATTACAGGTATTAGTAAACACATTTTAAATTTAGGAAGATAATGGACAGACCAGTTTGATACTTTATAGCTCAATATACCTATTTTGAGTTATCACTTTACACAAATGTTATGTTGAAACTGTGATTTTTTAGAATTTATATATATATAAAGATATATTTATGCTTTTCAAATTTCACTATAGCCTGTAGGCCAGTGCTGACTGATAAGAGTCTTTCACTGTTTTTTAAACCCAGCAAAATAGAAGCTTTTATACCAAAATAAGGAAAGAGCATGGTATACACAATCCAATGCAGTGACTACACAGACCTACATGCATGTCAAATTAGAACAACTGTCTGTAACGAGAGGTGGGTGTCATGACACCCCCAATCACCAAATTATCATGTTTCCCTAACACCTGTTACCCAGCAGTTACAAAGATTAACAGAGTAACAGAACATTTGACACAGACAGCAATAAATTTGATAGGTGTTCAAGTCTTCCCCCGCTATACTAAAAGTATTTCTCTCTGTCTACCTTTAGCAGATTATCCTTCACTTCCTTCCCGGTGAAACTGCTGTCGCTATGACAGTACTTGAGGGTGTAATCTTTTTGTAGTGAGTGCCAGTAAACAGTAAAAACCGACAAAGCTTCTAATCCATCCGCACTCTATCCCAGACTGAAAAAAATGGGCTGAAAATACACTTAAGGGAAGTTGTTCACTTCCACTCTTTACATTCCCTGACATTTTAGCAGTCAGTGTAGATACTACTACTGTAAATTCTAATTCTGCAGTTTTAACAAGTGAACAGGAGCTAACCATAATTTCATAGAAAGAAAAATATGGGTAATTACACACAGCACAAAATTCCTTTCTTTAAAAAAAAACTGGGAGAATTAGCATTGCATTACAATCCGTTTTGTGTGCCTGAAATTTTTATTGTAGATTTTTTAAAAAAATTGTTCTTACAGTTCTACTTTCAAAGTATGCACTAAACATATTTTCCTTACCAGCTTCCTCCTCTACAACTGCTTGTGCTGTGAGTTCTTTATAGTCTGGACCAAGTGGAAATATCCTGTCATAGGTGGAATTAGATTCCTGTTCACTAGCCGACGCAGATTCATGCCTTCGATTTGTATTAAATGTATTGCAATCACTGGGAATTGAGAGGCTGACAGTCAACTCCTCATCCAACATTCGTCTTGATGCCTAGGAAAAAAGGATCTGAAAGTGGCCAGGACCAGCAGAACAAACAATTTGGCAAGTATACTCTGTTTTAATCTAATAAATATAACAATTTATAAACTAATTCATCCAAGATTTTTCAATGATACTAACTTGTGTAGAACAACAATAGCAGTACTCATTGAATACATAAGGACATTAGGGGGGCCATTCATAAAAAGTTCTGCCCGGAACTTTTATTAATGAACCCCTAGTTCACCATCTCTTATGTCTTTGCAGTGTCTCCAGCTCAAGTGCCTATACACACCCAATAAGTGAGTTTGTTTATTCCCAATTTGTCAGTCTGCATGTGTCTGGGCATCCCATGACTTCCTTACCTGACCGTTTATTGTAAAAGGAATGGACATTTAATTTTGCAGGGATAGTCATCATGCAACCTTTTCTTTTGCTCTTGCACAATCTAGAAATTTGTTACGGTGCCAAACAGCCAAACTGTTCATTGTTAGCTATATATATGGCTAAACCTTTAAATTACAAATTTTACTACACAAACAAGTTTACTATGTATTTTGGCCTATTTTTCAGCCCCACCAACAAGCCATTATACAGAAACAAATCATTTAATAAGTTGATCAATTATATTTTGTACATTCATGCATGTACTATAGTATATTAGCTAAGCTAAAATTATGATCAATTACTTGGTAAGGTTTATACAAAAGTAAGGGTATTAGAAAATGTGACAAATATACATTGCGTTTATAAACTTACCTTTTCCAGCATCTTTTGCCAGAACTGTCTCCAAAGGATTATGACAATAATGGCCACCAGGATTAAAATAATTGCAACTAAGCAACCAATTAGAAGGCGGGTGTGGCTGTCATCTATTTTGAGAGTTGGATCTAGAATAGAGTAAATTGTATCTGGGTGTAAACATATTCTGAAAGATAAAGATGGTACAATACTGTATTAAAGCTAAACCTCAGATATAAAAATGGTAATTTAAAGCTATTTCTCAATAGCCACAAAAGGTGTAAAACCCAGTTGTAAAAGTAGCAGGGGCATCATCACCGGGCTGCACGTAGACTGTACAAAAAACAAAGCAGTAAGGAGGGGTCCAGCAGGCACCACCCACTACAGGCTGTTTCCAACTACAAGAGGGGGTAGAGGCAAGACCAGTCACCCTGCACAAAAAGAGAGAACAGCAGTAGCTGGTCTTTATTACAGTATGTTCCTGCACGGAGGCAACGTGTCACACTAGATTACTACACAGATCTTGAAGAAATACACAAAGCACACCAAGAACCAAGTAAGAAGACACAAAGCTCTTGTCTGTGAAAGTTATCATTCATCCATTTTTACATCTGTAAAAAATAAGTCAAGGCAACTGGACTTGCTGTATTTTTCTTGAGAGGTTTCACTGGCCATCCAACCAGCTTTCTCAATTCACAATTTTGAATTGAAATCTGAAGCATTGACTTATTTTTTAAAGATACACATAGCTCTTGTATTCAAGTATAACCTTGTTATTTTTGAACCTAGAGAAAAAGAGCACTTAATCCTTGCATGGCGGGGATAGCCCCACTTCAAGGGTTAACAAAAAATGTCCCTGGAGTTGTGCTATATGTACCGTGTTTCCCCAAAAATAAGACCTACCCCAAAAATAGGAATCGATAGTGAAAGCGCGCTTCGCTCATTCTGGCCAGCGATTGGTTACCAAATTGCTCTTGGAAAGGTACAGCACCCCTGATTGCCCTGATCACCATAATTTTGTACATGAATACATGTAGACTGTTGTACATGAATAAGTGTGGATTATTGTACATTAAAAAAATAAGACCTACCCCGAAAATAAGACCTAATGTGTTTTTTGGAGCCTACAAAAAAATAAGACAGTGTCTTATTTTCGGGGAAACACCTGTATACCCAAATCATTTTTCTATCTTAGATTTCCCATCCCAAGATACTACACTTAGTCCGTGCCTACACTAAGTTTAGATGCATAGGGGTATATTTCTAAAACAGTGAAAGTCACATTCACAAAACATTTAGTGCAGGTGAATCTTTCTGGTGGATGTGTTTAAAATCGCAGTGATTCATTCCCCTTTAGTAAATGTTAGGTGAATGTCACATTCACTGTTACCAATATGCCCCTTAATCTTTGTATTATCTCTTACTTCCTGTTGCGTCTCCAGGACAGGAGTGAAGGTAAATCTACCTAAAGAGCTACTGGTGGCAAAAAATAAACTGATAGGGGTTTTAACTAGGGCTGCGGAAATTAACAATTAATTTCTCAATTAATCGTTAAAATTTTTGATCGATTAAAATTCTTTTGATCAAAAATGAAAACTCACCTCTCCGCCGGCTTCCGGGTTTTACGGGAGTCCCGTCGGAGATCCGGTGACGTTACGGACATCGACGTCACCGGACTACTCCCCCCTTCCCCAAGTGGCTCAGTACCAGCCCTAGTTTTAACGCTTCCCAACTCTATCTCAATCTAAAAAAAATGTTTTGGCTACACATACACTTTTATTATTTAACTTAACTTCCCAGGTAAGACAATACATTAGTATTTAAAACGATTTTCATATTATGTAATCTCTCTCAAAACTGAAAAGCATTTTGTCCAGGATATCAACCAAGTTGTTGAAATACTAAAATTCAGGCTTGTCATATTCCACTAACAACCATTCTAACCATTAATAATTTTCTGCCTGTATAGGTGCCCATACACTGCACGATTCTCGTACGAGAATCGTGGGAAATCCCGCGATCGTACGAGAATCGTGCAGTGTGAATGAAGACGTGCGACAGTTTCTACTGTACGGTCGCACGTCTTTTGTCTGAGGAGCATGCTAGAAAACCAGCCGAAAATCGTACGATTTTCGGCTGGTTTGAATGACGCTCGGGAGGCAAATGTCGAACGGGCTGGTGTGCGCATGCGCACACTGCCTGTTCAGCATTGCGGTCATCGGAAGCCCGACCCTCAGGGGGCGGGCTTGCGATGATCGCAAGTACGATCTGCCTGTCCAAGATGGGCAGCTCGTAAGTTTTTTAAATTACTTTACAACCATCGCAAGACTATGGTCTTGCGATGGTTGTACAGTGTATGGCCACCTTAATGGTCAAGGGATTGTCAAACAAAGGGCAGGTCCCAGGGAGCTGGGCACCTCCCTGGGACATGTACCATTACAACAACAAAAAAGATTTAACCCCTTAAGGACAAAGGCCTTTTTTTCATTTTTTGTTTATATGTTATAATCCACATTTTAGGCCTGGAAATGACTTAAAACTCCCCAAACATTATATATTTTCTGAAAGCCAAGACCTTGTAGAATAAAATGGTGGCAGCTGCAATTTTATATGTTGCATGACATTAGCACAACTTATTATCAAACCCAAACATTTAGTGAAAAATGCACTTAAGTTAAATTTAGTGCCCCACAACACTATATAAAACCATTTTTTGTAAGATATGAAAGATGAGGTTACAATGAGTAAATAGAACCCTAACATGCCCTAGTTAAAAATTGTGTGCGTCTACAAAATACAAAATTCAGTACTCCAAAAAGTCCATACACGCCGCTGTAAAAGCCGCTACAGGTCATTAGTTTAGAGATACATGTAAATATTGGCCTGAGAATTATTGCACTCACTCCAACGTGCGCAGTGATACCCAACATGTGTAGCTCAATTGTCGTTTTCATACATAGGTGCACACGACGCGTGTTTCTATGACGCAGGGGCGGGGGACTTAAACTGCTTTTTTTACATTTCATTTATTTAATCTTATTTGCAAAACTTTTTTTTTTTATTCTTTATTTTCATTTTTCCAAAATACAAATAAAAAAGCAAAGAACAGAGGGTAAGACAAAATAAAATGCAGTGCATGCATTCGGTACAGTCAGGTATTCATTAATTGACTAACAGCGAAAACGACTATCACAGGCCCAATGGGCGGTACATCTATGTGTCACCTGGGTACCCTTGTATTTATAGCAGTAAGGAATCTCGGCCCAGGGGAAACCCGATGGGCCCAACGGCGACACCAACCACCCGCTAGTCAACTGTCAGCTATTCCGAAAACCAGTCAGATATAACACAAAGAGGAGGGCGTGAGGGGGAGAAGAATCAGAAAAGGAAGGAGTAAGCATGAGTCAGAATTCAGACACAGAGTGCGCAGAAATCAGGGGGGGTGGGTTCAGCAGAGACCCGTGCAGGTACAGGGGGCGTGTCTCATCTCATCTCAGATAGGGCGTGTGGCCCAACATGTCCAATTGTGGCCATGGTGTGTTAGAAAATAATCCCCGTAATGGGGTATGGCAGTTACTTCACCATTATCGCACCATGCTCCGGGGAGTAGAGGAATTCTAACCAGTAGAACCAAGCCTTCCGGCTTGGTCAGTATGGTGCAGAGTTGCCGTTAGTTCCTCCATCAACCGAATTTAGTCTACTTTGCGAAGCCACAGCCTCACCGATGGTGGGTCAACACTTTTCCAGCATAGAGGGATGCAGGCCTTGGCTGCGTTAAGTAAGTGTATCAACAGAGATTTGCGGTATCGGGTACGGGATAGTGTGGACATGTGGAGCAATACAGCGGCCAGGTTCCCCAACAAAGAGACCCCTGTGAGTTGCTTAATAATCCGAAGGACTGCATCCCAAAACCCCCCGAGGCTTGGACACGACCAGAAGATGTGTAAGATAGAGCCGTCCTCCCGCCCGCACCTCCAGCACAGCGGGGAGGTCTGAGGGAACATTTTGTGGAGCGTGGTGGGAACATAATACCACCTGGTAAGGATTTTGTACCCAGTTTCTTGTATAGAGCTAGCTTTTGAGGCTTTATGTGCAAAATGCAGCATATAGTCCTTTTGGTCCTGAATGAAGGCAGTTACTAGGTCTCTTTCCCATTTTGCTATAAAGCTAGGTTCAGGATGGTCGGCTTTTAGTGTCAGGAGAGCATAGGCTTTTGATAACCCATGGTCAACATACTCGCCAGCCAAACACACGTCCTCAAACATTGTCAGTTCCGTACGTATAGGAGTGGAGTTGCTAGACTTAGTAAGAAAGCTACGTAACTGAAGGGCCTGCCAGCGCAACAGAGGGGGAGTTACAAGATTACTCAGTGAGTCCAAGCTAGCAAATTCCCGGAGAGGTCTAAAATGTCCGATCCGAAATCTGTTGGATACCACCAGTCGCGAGAATGAGCCGTCCTCTAGGCCAGGAATAAAGGCTGGGTCCACTACGACCGGTATTAAGAGAGAAGGAGAGTCACTGTCTTGGAGTAGTGCAGTCATTCTTTTTAGCACACGGATCGTGTTACCTGTGAGAGGGTGGTGGAAAATCTCCCTGTTCTAGTTGCAACCACCGTTTGTCAGAGGACACATTATACCACTCAAACGATCGAGCCATGTGTACAGACAAATGATAGTGGATGGGGTCAGGGAAACCAATCCCTCCTCGAGTCTTGGGCAGTGCCATGAGGGATTTGTTTAGTCTGTGGGCTCCATTCGCCCAGAGAAAGGATGCAAATTCTCTCCGTACAGATCTCAAGAATGTCACAGGAATGTGTACTGGCAGGTTCTGGAATAGGTAGAGTAAACGTGGGAGGATACTCATTTTGAATACACTGTTTCTCCCGAACCACGAAAGAGTACGAGTCGACCATTTGGACAGGTCGTGTTGGATGTCCGATAGCAACGGCGGAAAATTCACCTAAAAAACACCTTAGTGAAAGAGGGGATCAATTTCGTCCCCAGATAGGTTATGTGGAAGGTGAACCATCGAAAGGGAAAGGCTGATTGCAGGCCTGCTAGGATGGATGGGGTCACCGTGATCTTCTAATTCGCGCATCAGATTTGGGAGGGAGATGATGGGTTTAGTCAGTATGAATAGCAGGTCGTCT